TGGTCTGTAGTTCTCAGGTCCCTCCTTTTTTCTGTCTTAAGAAGTTAGGGACAACACAAGCCCTCCTCCAGCCACCTGTACTTCCCCTGTCCTCCAGGATTTCTCCAAGAGAAAGACGGAGACAACGTTAGCCCTCCTCCAGTCACCGGCGCTTCCCCTGTCCTCCAGGATTTCTCCAAGAGAAAGACGGAGACAACGTTAGCCCTCCTCCAGTCATCGGCGCTTCCCCTGTCCTCCAGGATTTCTCCAAGAGAAAGATGGAGACAATGTTAGCCCTCCTCCAGTCATCTGGCACTTCCCCTGTCCTCCAGGATTTCTCCAAGATAACAGATAGTGGTCTTGAGGATTCTTCCTCCAGCTTCTTTGCTGCTTTTGGATGTAGTTCATTGGGCCCAGGAGATCTGAACTTACTCAAAGTAATGAGGTGTTCCTTCAGCACTTGCCCATCAGTCTCAAGTTGTCATCCTGCCTCTTCAATTTGTACTTTGCCTTTGCCTTGACCCAGACAGCCGCCCACCCAAAACTGTAACTGAGCCCTCCTTCCTTTTTGTCATTCCTGTGCTACCCTACTGCCATCTCCACTGAGTAGCTGAACACCTCTTTCTCTCCTCTGTGTTTTACTTTGGCCATACCTGAAGAAGCCTTTTTTGTTGCCTTCAGCATTGCTCACTAGCTTGAGTTCATTCTTAGCCTTCCTGACACCATTCCTGCAAGTCTTTGATCTTTGTCTGCCCTCTTCATTCCATTTCCAATATCTGCCTTGTTTCATTTCCAGGACCTTTCCAAGCTTCTTTGTGAAGCTACATGGGCTTCTTCTGTTGTTTTGTACCCTTTTTTCCAACTTTCCCAGGGCCCCTGGTTGCCAATGCCAGATGAAATCTGGGTTCATTGCACTGAGATGTCCTCCCCATAATACCTGCATGGATTTCAGCCTTTTGCCTCTGAGTTATACTCTTCCTCGGCCATCTTTTCATATATTCTGCAAAAACAGCTTAGGGAAGAATCTTACTGGGATGCCAGGAACCGTGTTTTGTCTGTCTCGTGGAAGTATTTCAGTGGGTGATGGAGGGCAGCTGAAGAGGGTTCAGCACCTCCAGTTTCCTCCCTCCCTGCTGCCTCCACTGTCCCCTTTACCTCACTCCAAGTAGCTTTCCCAGTCCTGAGTTTGGGGAGCAGCTGGGAAAGCCAGAACATTCTTTCAGGCACTTTCTAGGGCCATAAAAACATCTCTTTTTCTCTCTTACACTTCAGGTTTTCAAAGTAAATTGTTAATTCAAAAGAATGGCATAAAAACCCAATTCTGTGTGTGGGTGTTTGTGTGTGTTTCTTCTCTGGATTATCTCTCACACATGCCAGGTTTCACACTAGACCAGATTTCGGGGAAAGAGTTTGGGCTGATCAAACACCTTCTAGATAAAAGGCCCATGAATGCTGTTTCTCCACAGAGTCCTGTAGATGAACCAGCAAGATCCTCTGTATACAGAATGCGAAAAAAAGAGGTGAGTGTCTGGGGATAGATAGAAAGTCATCTTTTATAGCAACCTTATTTATTCTGGCTTACTACATTAAAGACCTGGTTAAATTATTGAGGCATGTTATCATTGCAAGTTGACCTAAGATCATGAGAACAAGGCAAAGATCATGAGAACATGAGAAGAGCTAAGCTGGGTCAGACCCAAGCACAGGGAGGGAAACCAGGTGCTCACGGGGTCCCTCCAGCAGGAAGGTGCAAGAGCCCCTCTCATCCAGCTCCTCAGTGATGGGAACATGAAGGCATGCCAACTCTGGTGAAGGAGGTAGCAAGAATAAAATGAATTAAACTTTCAGCATGGCATAAAATACAATGCTGGGCATAGCCACTTCGGAATAATAGGCAGCAAGGTCACAATCTAATCATGATGCCCATAACCTCTGAATTCGGGCTACTGTGGGCTTCCCAGCCTGAATGTTCCATCCCAACTCTGCTCACCCTACAGCTCAGTGAGGAATGTAAGTTTTGCTGATGCCCAAACAACAAGAGGCTTGAAAATGAAAAATAAACCTCTTTCAAGAAGGTCAAAATCAGTAAAGATAAGCTCGGGGGCAGATAGAATCATAGAACAGAAGAGCTGAAAGGGGCCATGAAGGCCGTCGAGTCCACTCTCCTGCTGTTGCAGGACGCCAGCTCACACCACCCCACTCAGGGGGCTGCCCAGCTTCTTTTTTATTGTCTCTGGTGTGGGAGAGCCCAGCATCTCTGCAGGCAGCTGGTTCCAGATGTTTTGACAGCAGGTGTCCTAAAAGGCAGTGTAGATCAAGATACATTTGGGTCACCAAAATTGTCAAGGACAGAAAAAGTCCCTCTTGTTTGAGGCCGGCCCATGAGAGAGACAGGCAACTCCAAGCCAGTAGTTTTATATAAAAAAGAATCTTTATTGTAGGGACGCACTAGCAATAGAGAGCGAGCCTCTCTCCAGGTGGTACTGGCTGCCACGGTCATCCTGCACAGCATGACCATAGAATTGTTCCACCTATAATATCAAAAGAGTTACAAATACCTGAACTGATTGTTTCAAGCCAGCCAGGACAGGAATGTTTTAGCCTGACTGATAAGGGAGCTTCTTTTGGGGAAGCATTCCAAAGAATGAGTGTTACCACCAAAAAGCCCTCTTTTCTGGCTCAGTGCTCTTTGCCTCAAAATGTGAATGTGAAGGTACATCTCTACTCAATAGTTAGTCCTGTTCCCCCACTGGGCCAGTATGTGGGATCAGTTTGAAGCCAAAATAAATACCTTTTCAAAGTGCGAATAGTGTGCTTATCAAGTATATGATAATCAGGATAAACATTTTTAAGCCCAGATTTTCTGCTGGATGTCAGCTTGAGAAAGATGGCCTATTGCATCAACCAATACCTCAGGACTCAATCCAGGGCAGATAAAGCGCTACAGTTCCCAACATTTTTTCAGCACTAGGCTAAGACCTTTTTATTTAAACAATATTTTAACAACATTTAATATTATCTATAGGTTTTAAATTGCAGCCGGGATGAATCGCGGTTTTTAATTTATATTATATGTATTATGTTTGTTTATTTTATGTCAGCCGTCCCAAGGCTTTAAGTGATGGGACGGCATACAAAAATTCTAAATAAATAAAATCAAATAAAATAAAATAAATAAACATTCCACTGTCTGGTTTTGAAATTAGCAAATTCAGGGCTGAAACATTTTCAGGATGCTATTTCCATCATCATCATCATCATCATCATCATCATCATCATCATCACTACCACTACTACTAGGACTACTACGACTATTTATATGCTACCATTACCTACTGAAGCACCTGTTCAATGAAAACGTCTTTACCTGGTGCCAAAAGGAGAACTACAATGGTGCCAGGCATGACTCCTTAGAAAGGGTGCTCCATAGATGGGGAGTGATCTCGGATCAGGTCCTTTTCCAAGCTGTTTCTTCCCTCACTTCGCTTGGAGATGGCTCCTGGAGAAGGACCTCTGTGGAAGGTCGTAAGGGCGTTCCTCCAGGTATCCTGGCCCCAAGCTGTTCAGGTCTTTGTATGTTAAGATTAGCACTTGGAGTTGGGCCCAGACAGCAGCAACAAAGGACCCGTTTGATGCGTTCTCTAGGACCAGTTCTCATCAAAAGCCCTGCTCTAAATTAGTTGAAGTGTCCAGACCATTTTCAAAGGCTGCCCTGAGTAATTTCAGTAATCCAGGCAGGAGGTTACCAGTGTGTGGATAACTGGCAATGCTCCGTTCATCCAAGTGGGGACACAGCTGAAAAATCAGCCAAAGCTGAACAAAGGTGCAACAAACCTCCACAGAGATGAATCCAACAGAGTCATGTGAAAATAAGTCAATCAACAGAATTAAAGTGGACTCGCAGAGCTTAAAGGCAGAATCTACATGGCCATAGGAAGCTTTGGCATCCAGCTTCTGCCTTGGAAAGTTTTGGGGGGTTCACAGTCCAGATGTGCAGTTCTGTCCCATGCTTCTGGGAGCTGGCACAGAAATGAGTCCTGTGAACTCTGTGCCACTGGATGTTGCAAAGATTGCTGCAACAGCCCCATTGAATTGTGGGGAAGCAAGTGCCAGGGATTGACAAGGAAGCTGTGCAAATGAATGCAGTCATATTTATCCCAAAAACATTAAAAAATTCACTTCACTTTGATTTTCTTCCCTTAGGTATATGAGAAGGAAGTTTTGATGGTCTTCTAGAAGCCATTGTGTGCATAATGCATGTACTATTTTTATGAAAAAAAAATTAACAAACATTTCCACCTTTTCATAGTGGTACACAGGTCTTCCTCATCACCAATCTTATAGAAATGACTTTGCTGCCAAGTTTCAATCTCGGCCCATTAAAATTGACAAGCAACAGCTGCAGAAGTTGCAAGTGGTTGGATTGCCCTAATCTTGTTTTTAAAAATGAATGATAAAGTGTATTGCTGGTGCGTAATATCTTGCATTCCACCCCCAAAGAAGAACTAACAAAGATTGTTCCTTTATCCTGCTACCATGGAGACATCCCAAAAGAGGATTTTATTCTTTAAGAACAAAGTTCTTTCCAGCCCTGAGCTTCGGTTGGGAAGGCAAAATGCTCCTGTTTTGTGGATAGCAGAGAGAGCTTTCTGAAAGATGTTTGTGTACTGGGCTATCCTCCCTAATTTTCTTGTATTTCTGAATGACATGTACACTGCATGGTATCAAACAGAGTTGTTGTTATTACACTGCATGTCTGTCAGGTTGAGCTTTTGGGACTATGAGAAGAAGATGAAGAAGAAGGAAGTACAACACAGTAGCTGAACATTTAGTTAAATCAATAGATGTGGTCTCTTTTGGTTTTATGCCGTGGGTTGCATCAAAATAACTCCCATTCATTTTGATGGATCTCCTCTAAGTAGGAATAACAGGGCTGTAACCCTTGCATCCAGATAATGCTTCAGGTCCTGATGATAGCCACGAGCTGCCTGCTATCCCAGCAGATGCTCTCTGCTGCCCTGGATCTATCCCTGGAGGAAACTTGGAGAAATTGGAAAGTGACACATGCTAAAGAATACCCTGAGGTGAGATGTGTCTGCCCTTCTTGAACTTGTGAAGCACCTTTGCGAATATTAAGAAATTATATTTCTCAATGCAGACTTAACTCAGTGATAGGCAGCCATGCTCTGCCCTGTTACTCCAGATGCAGAACTCTTGGCATGCCCAGGAGCACTCTCCCCTCCAGCTGTGGGGAAAAGCACAGATCCTTGTGCATTCCTGCGCAGTCCAGTCCTGGTGTTCAGTGGATGCAGAGCAGTCCGAATGTCTAAGAATCTGAAATTTGGCAGACTGGTTTTTCATGGGTCACATGGGATTTCACCCATTTGCGAACCCTTAAAAAAACATAAATTTATACAAATTCACTTGCAGAAAAATTTGTAAACATAGGCCCTAAAAGTGCATTTTCTCCTGGACTAAAGGGCGAAAACAGGGTTGTGCCCATTTTGTGTGTGTGGGGCTTTGCACATGTTCAAGAGCATACATTTGTACTACTCCAACTTCATATCATCCCCACACCCACCCAACACACATGCAAATTCTCATTCCATCAATGACAATGGGATGAAGTGCAATGATTTCATTATTTGCAATCCATGGATAGCATATCTGGAAACTTTTTCCAAAGATGAGCAATTTTGGATACTGAATCCTGCCTTTGAGGATGGTGGGAGCCCCGGCCACCCCTGTTCTTAACCAAGCCTCTTTTCTGCAGGGGGAAGAGCCTGTCCAGAGAGAAATCTGGGAGAAAGCTCTACAGATGATTGAGAAGCATAACCACGAGGCTTCCCAGGGAAAACACACCTATGAGCTCAGCCTGAATCAGTTCAGTGATTTGGTAAGTCCATGCTGGCCCATGTCATGGAAAGAATCCTTCAAGCCAGTCGAATCAGTTCTATTCTGGGCTGTCCCAACACATTTCAGCCTATGGTGAAGAAAAGGCTGGTGTCCCGTCTGTGAAAGCTGGCTGCATTGGCACATGAACTTTCCCAGCACTGGCTATGGGATGTATGTATGTATTTATTAAAAGCTTTTCTAGCCTACCCACCACAAGCATCTCAAGGAGAATACTCAAATGCATAGAATAAGACAAGCATCACCACATCTGACAATTGATATGCTAAAATCAATTTAAAATCAATTAAACATTAAAATAACAGGAAAATAAAAAGGGTTCTGCCTGATGCCAAAAAAGAATATAATGTCGGCACCAGGTGAACCTCTCTGGGGAGCACATTCCACAATGGGGTGCCCCCACAGAGAAGGCCCTCCTCCGGGTACTCTCCTTCTTAATCTCCTTCAAGGAGGGCTCCTGGAGCAGGGCCTCCATCTCAGATCTAAATGGGTGAATGGGCATGTAGGAGAGAAGGCGCTCCTTCAGGTATCCAGGACCCAAGTCCTTTAGGGCTTTATAGGTCATCACCAGCACCTTAAATGGGGCCTAGACCCCAATTGGTACCCAGTGTAACTGGTAGAGGATCGGCTTTATATGTGAAAACTGTCCAGTCCCCATTAACATCCTGGCAGCCGGGCCATCTTAACAGCGTGATGGGCCCCGGGCAAAGCAGTGTCCTGGGGCCCCTACAACAACTACAACTGCTGTTAATTTCGGAAGGTTTCCAATTTTCCAAGGGTTAACAGACACAGATTCGTATGGGGCCCACGGGCAAGTGCCCATCAGGCCCATGCATTAAGACAGCCCTGACTGGCAGCTCTGCTCTGGACCAATTGAAGTATCTGGACCATCTTCAAGGGCAGCCCCACGTGGGCACTTTACAGTAATCCCACCAGAAAGTTACCAGAGTGTGGGTCACCATTGCAAGGCACACTCATCCAGGTAAGGGCGCAGCAGGTGGATCAGCCGAAGCTGGAGGAAAGCGCTCCATGCCTGGGACAGCTCCGGGTCGAGGAGCACCCCCAAACTGCACACCCTCTCCTGTAGGGGCGGTGCAACCCCGTCCAGGACAGGGATGGAGTCTTCCAGCAGACCCTAAGACAGCAGGGCAGCTGAAGGGGCATGGAACAGGTCACATGGCCCGCAATCACAATTTCTGAGCATTACATTTTTGCTGGCATATGAACCATTCAAAGCCCACAACCTGATCAGAAGGGCCAACAGAAGAGCCGATACTTTTGGCATCGGCAAGTTGACAAACACACGCTCACATTTGCGCAGTTTTCCCAGTTTGATATGTTAAGTAGTCCTAATTTGTCCCAGTTGCTTCCATCTCCTGATTCGGAGTCTAGTCTCTGAGGAAAACATGCACACATTAGGAAATTTATGCAAATTTGGGGAATTTTGCATGAAGTTGCTTTGGCCCTGAGTCAGTTTTCTAATCACAAGCAGCAAGTGGTAAGTGCAAATGTGCAAAGGAACAGGGAACTGGAGGGGCAGGAGGGCAACATGTGGGGAACCCTGGTGTCTCGAACGTCACTCATTTGCCGATTCCTGCCCTCAATTCACTCCTCGAATACTTTTCAGCTGACTTGTGAAATGGCCCCGCCCTGCTTCATGTAGAGCCCACCCTCCATGCAATTAAAAATCAGTGGCTCCCATTTGCAGGATGAGGCCCATTCCTCTGAGAAGAAAGCCTTTGGAGATGTGGAATGGATTTTGATTCAGAAAAAGAGGGGGCAGAGTCTGCACCTGAACTGCCAAGGCCAGAGCGGGGCAGGGACAGTGTGAAGCCAGGCAGCCTCTGAGAATCACAGTTTCGATTTCAGTGGGAAAGTTCAGTGAGCCTGCATGGAAGGGGGTGAACCTCCCATCTTTTATCCCATGATGCAGCTTCAGAGTAAGAAGGTGGGCCGGGTGCTCCAAGCAACTGGCCTTGAACAAGGAGGGCCCACCTTGAAGGGGTGGGTTGTGCTTCTCAATTTGGAAGCCGGAGGCAAGGGCTGGGGCGGGGGGGGGAGGGGTTCTGCTCGGAAGCAAATACTTGTCATTAAGCCACATATCTCAAACAGTCACAATTCCAACATGGCTTGCTTCTTTGGTTGTGGACTTTTGCCAAGCCGTTCTGCTGTCTACTTTAACATGACAGAGCCCTTTAGATCCATTGGGTTTGCCCTGGTCTGCTTGGAAGGAGGGGAAAATTGCTCAGCCCCCCACGCCCTGCAGCAGCTCCTCCTCCACCACCTATTCTGATTGAAGTGTCACTCATGGCCTTCTGGTATTCACACCTGCCACACTCACACAGCTTCCTCCCTCTTAGCCCATGAGAACTGAGCCACATCAGCTTTGGTCTCCCTTTGGTTCCTTCTGCTGGTGCATTTCAGGGTGGATGAAAAGCTCGCAACCAGTTTGGCAGCAGAGCTGGGTGTGCCACACCCAGACTACGCAGGAAAGACTTCTGAAACTCTAGAGCGTGTTGCCCAGCCATTGCACACAATCTGAGCCAGGTGGACTCTCTTCTGGCTGATGCCAGAGTGCGGGACACAAAATAATCTATTCATGTTGCGACAACCAGATTCAGGAAAAACTTCCTCATGGTCAGAGCGATAGGACAGTGGGGCCAGTTGCCAGGAGAGGTGGGGGCTCTCCCACACTGGAGACATTCAAGGAGAAACTGGGCAGCCACCTGAGTGGGGTGGTGTAACGTGGTGTCCTGCAACAGCGGGCTGGGCCCCATGGCCTTCAGGGACCCTTCCAACTCTGCTATTCTATGATAAAATACTTTCCTTTGTGATATTTACCATAGTCCTTTACTCAGAACCATGAGGACTGGTAGCGCAGTATGTTGGAGGGATTACCACTGTCAGCACCTGAGGCATCAAATCAGGGCACCAGGACCCAGATAACCTGTACACAATATGGGCCTATTCAAAATCATGGTCAGGCAGTCCAGAGATTGGAACGGAAGGTGAGCAGGTGAAGACTGGGGATCCAGGCATGGTCCTGAGGCAGGAGCAAGGTATGAGCAGAGGTTCTGGAAACAGGTTCTAGAAGGTGCAGAGAGCTCCAAGAACATCAAAGACCTTCCTTGCTGAAGCAGCATCCGGAGGGAAGAACTGGTTCTTATATAGCTCTTCCCACTGGGGTCCCAAGTGGAGCAACCCAGGTGGCTGGAATTGACTGTGCAACCACCAGGGCTGCAATACTGGTCTCTGGCCAGAAGAGGGAGCCCTGGTGCTGCCCCAGACCTCACAGCCAAACCCTGGTAAGAGAATATCTATTTTGGAGGGAGAAAGTCCCAAGCTGTTGCATGAAACCAATGGCGGACTGGATCCAGGGCTGAAGCTCTGGCAGCTCTCGATTAGCAGGGGATGATGGAATCTGCTCCCCCTTGCAGATTCCATGTTCTTTCTGAGCAGAGCTGCAATTAGAAAAGTATGGGGGATGTTGTGGAGGGGTTCCACATGGGGGGACAGGAAGGCCTGGGTCAGCAGGACACCTGTATGGGGTAGGGGGACAGCTTGGCAAGAGGGGGTGCCCATGACTGACATGGAGATGGGGAACCGGGGAGTAATTGCAACACCATGGCAGCTCTGAGGGGGAATAAGCCACAGCATCGATGAATCTTTGCATCTCCAATACAGACCAATGAAGAGTTTGACCAACTGAATGGTTACTTTCCTGACCTGGAGGAAGATTACAAGAATGTGACCATATTCCAAGAATCGGCCACCCTGGAAACTCCTAGGGAGGTGGACTGGCGCAGAAAAGGTTATGTCACCCCTGTGAAGAACCAGGTGAGTGAGGAAACATAACATCAGTGCTGTTGATGGGCATGTTGTGAGCGGAGCTGGCTGGAGCCAGGGGTCAGACTAGATGGCCCGGGAGGTCCCTTCTGACTCGTTTTTATTTTTGTCTTTGAAAGCAAGCAAGTTTGTTCAATTTTATTTATTTCAATAAATGCCTTCTTAAGTGCTACAGTTTGAATTAGATTATGTATGACTTCACTAAATGAATAATTAAATTGTTATAAATTTATTAAATCAGTTATACAGTTATACAAGAAGAAGTCAACTCTGCTAACTGGATTAACACCAAGACACCTCTTTCCATTCAGGAGTTGCATTCCTCATGAGCTGCAGCTTCTGAACCTTCTTCAAGGGAAGCCCAGGGCAGGATGCAGGAAATCTGGAAAAGCAGGAGAACTGGAAGAGAGAATGGGAGTGGGGCCAGAGGAAGGGGTGTGGTCCTTCAAGGAGTCCTAGATGTGGACTTGCCTTAAGCTCATTGGAATAACTCTGTTGTACAGCTCTGACTGAGGGATCACACAGGTTCTCTTTTTCCACAGGGTGCCTGCGGGTCTTGCTGGGCATTCAGTGCCACCGGAGCCCTGGAAGGTTTGCATTTCAAGAAGACCAGAAAGCTGATCTCCCTGAGTGAGCAGAACTTGGTCGATTGCTCTTGGAAGCAAGGCAACAAGGGATGCAATCATGGCCAATCATCTCAGGCCTTTCAGTATGTCATAGATAACAAGGGAATCAACTTGGAGAGCACCTATCCTTATGAGAAGAAGGTAATACTCACATGAGGCCGTGTGTGCCTCATAAAATTGCAGCTGTGAACAGGCCATGGCCCACAAACCTGGGCTCATTTTGTTACCCAAGCTGAAATGTGTGGTTGCTCCTCCATGCAGACATGGACAATTGCTCACTCCCCTCCCAGGCTCACGATGCCCAGTATTCAGTCCTTCCAGTGGGTACCAGAGGTGCTGATGAGGATGAGGGGCAGGCTAGCTCCTTGGAGGTAGCCCAGCCAGTGTCTTAGTAAGGGCTTCCTGGTGAGCAAATACAGCTGTGTCCTTAACCTCTGCTTCAGAAGACAAGTTCCCAGGAGAACCTCCATTTCTCCAGCCTGGAAAATTGAGACAACTGTTGGGAGAGGTGGAGCTGAATCCAGGTCTTGTCTGCCTCCTTCAGTCACTTGGCATCAGTTCCTGGCTGAGACAACAGCAAGCTGCTGCTCTTGCTCCCCAGCAGTTGGCTGTGATCCTGGAGATGGCCATCATTTTGTTGTCATGGGTAGCCTTCCGCTCCAGCTTGTAATGGTGCACAGTGTGAAGTCCTTTTCTTTGGGTGTAATCTGATTGTGACCCCTCCACTGATGGACTCTCTCCAGAACAGGCATAGAAAAATCCTGGTTCACCTCCCACACCTCCGCTTTGCAGGTAGGATCATGTCGCTACAAGAGCGACAGGGTCGCAGCTCGGTGCACGTCCTACAGTGAAGTAGAGCGTCGAAACCTCCGAGCTCTGGAACAAGCAGTAGCCAGCATTGGTCCAATTTCTATTTCGATTGATGCCAGCAGCGAACAGTTCAAAAGTTACAAGAATGGTAAGATGTCCTTTGAGAAAGACACAAATCTTCCCTTTGGGTGCTTCCAATGTGGTTGAAAAACATGCAGCAGCTATGCCATCTTTTTTAATTTTAAAAAATTAATTTTTCATCTAAAGGGGATTAAAGAACAGAAAGCTGAGAGTGGGAATAAATGGTACTTTTTCCCAATGGGGGGATGGCAACCAGTGCGGTCCCACAATGTTCTGTACTGGGACCAGTGCTTGCCAACCTATTCCTAAATCAACTGGCTTTATTTATTTATGTATTTACTTACTTACTTACTTACTTACTTTATTTAAAACATTTGTCTCCCATCTTACACGATCCCAGGATGGCTTTCAAAATTATAACAATTAAAACAACAACAAATAGCAATAATTATAATAATTAGTAACAGCAAATGACCACCAAAATCAGCAAAAACATGATATCATTAAAAATCAAAATCACCAACAGAAGCAAAACCAAAACAAAAACAAACATAAAGAACAGAAAACAAAAATGACTGTGGATGTTAAAACCAATTAAAATTCCTAATTCTTAAAATGGCAGAAAATAAAAAGGAATAAGGAAGATAACTAGGAATAAGCAGTGAAGTGCCCAGGTTTGCTGATGGCGCTACACTATTTCAGGTGGTTAGAAGTAAAAGCGTGTGAGAGCGCCAAACAAACAGATGGGAAAACGGGCCTCAGAACGTCAAGAGCAGTTCTGTGCAAGCAACGTAGAGTAATGCATATTTGGGGCAAAAAAAAAAAAAAAACCCCGACTTGATGTATAGGTAGATTGGATCTGAGCTGGAAAGGGGTTGTGGGGGGTGGGGGTGGACAGCTTGATGAAAATGGCAAACTCCATGTTAGGCATAATTAGGAAAGGAACTGAAAAGGGAACTGCCAAGATGGAACTTCCCTTCTATAAATCTTTGATATGACTGCACTTTTCCTGCAGAACTATGTCCCTCCCTTTAGAAATAATATCCTAGCCCTCATGTTTCTGTTTGAAGGGAAGATGGAAATAGGAACACAAGAAACTGCCCTTGATTGGGTCAGACCATCAGTTGACCTAGGTCAGGATTGTCTACAAACAGGGACATGGGATGTCAAGAGTGGAGGGGGCAAACCTGGCCCTATTCGCCCTCTCTCCCTCTGGCCACGTCCCGTTCCCCTGGCCCTACCAAGTCCTTCTTTCTGTTCTGTTCCTGATGCTTCTCATTCTTCACCTGTTTTCCATGCAAGAATCTTTTCCCTCAAGGGGTGCGGCAAGAAGCTAAGCCATGCGATGCTTCTGGTTGGCTATGGTTTTGACAAGAAAGGCTATGCATATTGGATCCTGAAGAACAGGTGAGATTGGGGGATTGGACTGTCCATTCCCTCTGGGCCAATCCACTGACCCCCTAAAAAGCACCCCAGGCCCCTAGAGGGCCATTGCTTCTTTCCCTCACTCTGAGGAGAAGCACCATGGCCAGGTAGTGCCAGCAATGAGCCCACCGAAGGGGCAAAGGCCTTGTCACTTGCCCCACTATGCTCAACCCTTGGCCCAGTCCTGCTTCGGGACCACAAGTGACTTCTTTCTCCTTCTCCTTCTCCTTCTCCTTCTCCTTCTCCTTCTCCTTCTCCTTCTCCTTCTCCTCCTCCTTCTTCTTCTTCTTCTTCTGCAGCTGGGGAAAGAGCTGGGGTGAGGATGGGTACCTGCGCTTGGCAAAAGGAAACGAGAATCATTGTGGCATCGCAACCAACCCAACCTACCCCGTTCTGTAGGAAACCAGGGCAGCTGGGATCTCACCTCCAAGACTCTCCTTCCACATCACTGGAGGGGGGCCCAGAGGAGAATCTTCACTGATGCCTATCATATTTAGCATTGCTACGCCAAAGCTTGGGAGCATTTGGGAGGAATTTGCTCAAGTCTGTACCTGGGGTGACCAGTTCCAGTGGACTCTCCAAGCCTTAGCAATCCTGAAGACGTTTGCAGAAAGTAAAAATTGCTGTTACCTTCTCCACTGTGCTCGGTTGGGCCAAGGGGCCCTTTAACCTGTTCCCTACCTGATGCCCTGACAGGAAACCTGCAGGCACAGGAGAGCAGCACAAGCCCTCTCCCTTGAGCCTCAGAAATGGATTCTGGCAGAAATTGGGTGGGTTTGCCCAACACGACAAGCCACTGTGGTTTCTTGCACAGGTGCTCCTGTCATGGTATTTCAGTAGGGTACCTCGGTTTTCAGAAACCATGGTCTGTTGTATGGTTTCCATGCCTCACTGTGGTTTCTCTGGTCATCTGAACTGTCCATTGTGGTTTCTACAGTGCCACCACAAGGTCCCCTGGGCAAGCAGCAGCTGTGTGAAGCTGCTCCAGCCACCCAAGAGGGGATTGAATTGCAGGCCTGGGGGCTGGTGGGACATGAGCCAGCAGCAGGAAGGAGGATCCAGGAGGGTAGAAACCCTATAGGGGTAACACCACACACCTTGGAAGCCATGCTGGGTCCTTGTCAAGGTGTGTGAGCCCAGCTATGATGTCCATTCTGACCCCAGAGCTTTGTCTATTCCCAAGGTTTAGATATTTGCCTGAAGTGTGCTGAATTCAGCTTTGGAGACACTCTTGACACTCTCAGAATCTCATCTTTGCCTCCCCTGCCTCAATAGAAACATAGAAACAGAGCGAGTCAGAAGGGGTCTCCCGGGCCATCTAGTCTGACCCCCGGCACCAGCCAGCCCCTCCTGCCATTCTCATTGCTACTGCCTGATCTTGTGCTTGTTCTCTAATAAACATTAAGCATGAATACCAGCCAAAGACCTGCCATGTGCATCTTCACTGAGTGACTTCCTGCACGCAAGTCAGATGCTTTGCCTGTTTCTCTAAAGCAGTAAGACTCTAGTCCTCATGATTCTGAATAAAGGATTGCCTTGAGTAGTAACATGGGGAGCTACTTTAGGCCAAGCCTAAGGTAGGACAGAATTATTTCTACATGTACACTCCATGGGTTAGATCTGTCTGCACCAGGGGAGTTGAGCCCAAGGGTCAGAACTTCCATGGGCCAAGTCTACAAGGAATGGTGACACAATTATGAGAAATGCTCCCAGTTGCCAGCCTGTATTCATTGAAAACTCTTGTTTCCTGTATCAGGCTGTGACTGAGAGAAGCATGTCATGTCAAACTTTTCAGATGGGTGGAGGTAGCAAACTGTCAAACAGCTGGACAGGACCAGTCCATGGTCCATCTAGCCCAGGGGTCTCAAACTCAGCTGACCTGGGGGCCGCTGGAAGTAGAGTCTGGGTGAGGCTGGGCCGCATC